TGTGTGTGTGTGTGTGTGTGTGTGTGTGTGTGTGCACATGGAGATGAACAGTCTTCCAAATGCACTCCTCAAGAAATATTAGGCAAAACATACTTGCACGTTCACAAACGTAGACACAATCATGACACATTTCAAATGTAGTAAATAAAAAACCTTTCCCCTTAAAGTAGGGAAGCATTTCATAAATACAGCCAGCTGAAAAATGTAACACACAGTAATGTGAGTGGGTGTGCAAACTTGTATTAGCCCTTATTTCTCTAATTGAGATGTAAACTTATGTTTCCTGGTTCTATGCTTTTTTTACGCAGTCAATCTAAGTGCAGTCGTGTACAAATATTCTGTCTGCTTGTGCGTCTGAGGCCAAATCTAAAAAGTAAACTTAGGAAGTAGGCCGTAAAGTACTTACTGTCCACACAAACATAAGGAGAGCGATGAACTCTGTTACTCATCCAGGTCAGGCTCTGAGTCATTTCACTACAAACTGCAAGAAACTTTAGATTTTACCTCCACCAAAACAAAGCATAAATATCTGTTGGAGCGGTACAGCCTACCASTGGCAAAAAATAAATAATATTAAATTATACTATTGATGAGGAACCCCTTAACAGTTACACAGGTGGGCAATATCAGTGCARTTTCTGCCTTTAGACATTTCCAGATGTTTTCAGATGCTACCGGCGGCTATTTTTTTTAATACCATGGTGTCAGATGCTTACTTTGGTTCTAAACTTTAGCATGACACCCTTACGTAAAATAAAAAATGTCAAAAGGCTTTTAAGGAATTTCAGGGGTGACTGTTAAAGGGTTAAATTAGACTTCTGTTACAACAAGGAAGGGTTGCACGATGTTGATAAAAATAACAGCGTTGCGATTTTTTTAAAACTACGATATTGCAATATAAAAAAAAAAAATTTCAACAGATTATTGTCCCAGAAGTTTAACGTAAGGAACATTTTAGTTGTTTTTTTTTTTACACGAAGCAACCTGTCAAAATAAAAGCTGTAACACCAAACCTTTTAGTACAATGACTTGTGGTTTAGTGGTTTAGTCTTAGATAACACATTGATTTAATTTGCATCCTACATCTCAGTATGTGACTATATTGTGCACACATACATTGCAGTGACGATGCTCAAACAATATATTGCGCAGCTCTAGTTACAACTTTCAATAATGGTCTTTATTTAGTTATATTTCAGTGTCAAATCAGACCAGTGATGGGGAAACATRTGTACCCTGAACCTAGGCTGAAAATACTGTCTGAGATGAAGTTTGTGAAGATGGATAATAAATTCTGGAGATAAACTTATCTTTCCTAGGCTCTGCATTCCAGAAGAAAGGTGTTTGATAGAGGCTAAAGAACTCCTACTAAGCACTTAGCTTTGAACTTTATTTACAGCTGTTGTGGACCTTTTTACTGCAGCCATTTAACTTCATAGAAGGAAAAGCACCGTTGTAACTAAAAACACTAATGAAGTCCATGCCAGTGATACACAATGTACAATATTGGGCCAATAAAAYTGGCAGACAGAAATGGAATGCCGCAATTAGTGAAATTATAAGTTGCACCTGTGTTTGATCATTTAAAGCGTTGGCTGTTAGGAGGWTTAGAGAAACAGCTCTTCCTCTTAATCAAGCACTCAGACAGATTTAGTCAAACARCTTGGTGAATTTTTCCAKTTGGTTCTKGTCTGTTTGCAGTAAACTTTTTAAAACACGTTCAAATATGAAGCAGACACACTCAAGGGCTCGGCATACTCACACATATTTTAACTTTTTCTGACTAATTAGACTCTTTTTCATGTCTTATGTTAAAAAATGATTGATGGTAGAGATGGTATTGAAAAGAAAGGATTTTCACTTCCTTTGATTATTGATACTTCCTAGGAGCAAAACTACTGTATGTGGGCATTTTTAGCAAAAACACTTCAAATCTATCTGCAATAACTCAGTTCTTTCAAAATTTTCAAAGTTTTCTACCCCCCCAATGCCATTAGATCCTTCTCACTACCAGCTACCACTCCAAACCTAACATCAACTTGCAGCAATTAACGCCTCTCAGTGTGCGCTTCTTTTGTTCTTTACTCATGCAGGGCTAATTAATACAGCAYGATTGTCAGCGCAACAACAAGCTGTTTAAAAGCAGATAAAGTACTCTTAACAAGCACCAACTCAGCTGCTACTTTATGATTTAAGACTCACAGTTTTGCCTTAAGGTGACCACATGGTTGAAACTTAAGGTTAAGTTAAAGTTTACGTACCCTGGGTCCTGCATCTAAAAACCTCGAATGAAACAGCTTTCAGATTCAGAGACGCGCTGCTGCTAATTCTGTCAGCTGGCTATCTCGTTCTTTTATTTTTATTCGACCAGTATATCAACATGGAGGGGAATGCACACATATTCTGGCAGTAAAACTGAGCACACCTGGGAACATAGTTTCCACTTTTTAAAAAAAAACTGCCTGACTGTAGAAGGTGTTAGAAAAACACTTGTTCTGTCACTATCCAGTGCCAGAATAATAAATGGATTAAATAATTCTAATTATAATAGACTGTCATGATGGACACATTCATTCTTAGACGCTGCTTATTTTGAATAAACTTTATTTAAAAATCCCTGCTCTGATTATTTTTAATGCAATTTTTCATTTTATCTGTAGGTTTACTGACTGACATGGGTTTAAGAACAAATGTTCACTGTAAGAAAATGTTTGGTTGAACTGCCCTCAACTGTAAACTTCAGCTGAAACAAGGGATTGGTGTTTACTTTGTCTGCCACTCTGTCATTTAGCACTAAAGTATGTGTT